TATGGGTCAGAACCTGGCATGACTGCTTCCTTATGAGCTGCCCATCCACTGATTGTTTTTTTTTAATAATAAAAGTGGGTTGAACATTGCATAAAGAAACAATATTTGCAGCCAGCTCTTCAATATAGAACATTTCCAAGCTGTCATACAGCATAAGACGAGAACAATAAGCAGCATTAAAAATGAAAGGATCTTAAATTGCCACTTTAAGTCAAGAAGCAAGGAAAAACAGAATAGGAATGAAGATTTAATGGACCGTGATCCTATTAGGAGAAAAGGGAAAAGACTGAATACATTTTTAGGATAAGAAGAACTCAGAAAGATAAGTAGGAAGAATTAGCCAGGACATGAAGCCTGCCATAAAAGAAAACAGATTAAGGAATGTAAGCTATTTGTATGCATTTCTTGTTTTGAATAAATAAATAAGTCATTGTTCTTGAATAAATGTTCTCCATAAAAACATTTACAGGGCTTTAAAAATATATATGGGTCCCATTTTCCTGCCCACTGGGCACTCAGGCAGCTCCATGTCAAGGAGATAGCAGACAAGCCTCTTCAAAATGAGAATTCTATACCTGAGGGAACTGTCTGCCTTAACAGACATTTGCCTCATCTAAAGCCAATCTTGGTATATATACAAATGGATACTTGGAGTTTCCAGTTCTCCAAAAACCCAGAACCTAACAGACAAGGAGTCAAAGGAGTTTTTTTAAAGCAGTATTAACTGATCCCAGTTAGTGGTCTATCATTTCTGTTTTGAATTATTGCTAGTTTCTGAGCAGCTTTAAAAGACAGCAGCACATGCAGCAGATAGAAGTAATCTGATCTGGGAATTATTTCACTATAGATAAGTTTAAACAGGCTCTTCTTGGACAAGAGGGGCCACAACAGGCACACCTGTCTCACCTTGGTGAACCATATTGTTGATACTGGAGATCCCAGTGACCATGGGGGATCTTAGCTTACATCTAGACTGCAGACTGATCCTTTTTAGCATCCATCTGCAACAGACCGTTGATCTGTCCTTCCTGGAGAGGCAAATCATCCAGCAACATATCAATGTATTTTTAGGACTGACTTTTAATTTACTGGCCCTCATTCATTCATAACATCAAATTAATGATTTTCTGAATGAGATGTAATTGCCTGGATTTGACATAGAAATTCCATGAGTTACTCTGATGCATGACCTGTCCTAGAACAGAATGGTGCAACCTCGTAGAAGAAGCAAAAAATGATGTGAATGATGTTTTGCTTGTGTTCCTTCTGTGGTGGCTATTTAATTACAGTTTAATACTGTAATCCCAGTTTAATACAGGGAATACTTTTATTGATGTGGTATGTATGCATTTTTCAAGATAGGTGTGCACCAGCAGTTCATCATCTGTGAAGTGGATACTATTTCACAGATGGCTACTTGGAATTATTCCTTCTGTGAACTTGTTTAGAAAAGTGGTTTTGTATTTTGAGCGCAAATACCCATTTCTGCCTTGTATTTGGCATATTAGGCAACTAATTTTTCTGTCAACTTCTCCACTGTGCCTTTTTGTTTTGGAAGTAGTCATGTCATTATGAGAGTGATTATAACCAGGAAAATGGTCTTGTTAATAGCCATTATAGGAGAATATACACATTATCAAAATTCCCTATGCCCAGAAATGTTGGGCGCCCTCTTCTAGTCTAAGTCCATGCTATCTGTATCAAGTGTTTAAGAATATGTAGATTGGTATAAAGTCAATCTGCTTTACTTTCCATTTTGTAAGGAATATTTCCAGTCCAATAGATATAGGTTAGTGTACCCAGATGCTGCCAGCTTCCTCCATAGTAATTCACTCAGACCCACCTTAGTAGGGATCCTGAAGCCCAGATTTTGGAAAAGTCAAGCCTTCATACAACATATCAGGCATAAGGTATCAAGAACAACACAAGGGATTGCTCATAATAGTTTCTTTATTGCTGTTCCACCATAATCAGGAATCTTGTCAGATAAAAACATACTCTGCAAAATTATCAGATAAATCCCATAAAGGTTTAGGGAGGGTGCCTTCTGGAGCTCTTTCTATAAACCAAGGACTCAAGGCTGATCTGCCTCTTAACCCATTAGGAAAAATTCCCTTCCTCCTGCATTTCAATGCTAGATTCAACCATACAACCTATTCCACTGTGCCTAGAAAGCAACTCACAACCAACACAGGTGTTAAAACAGCTTTCATGTGATCTTAGTACTTACATCATTAACCTAGTTCTTGTATTTTGCATCAATTGGATCTTATTATGCTGGAATGTAATCTGGTATCCCAAGAAGGAGGGGTTACTTCCCAGAGAGCAAAGAGGAGGCGGAGCTTGGAAGGTGTGGTAGGCAGGAAGAGGGCAAAGACCCTTCCTAGAAGTTCACAGAGTACATCTATAGTTTTGGCATATAGCGTAGTTGTTTTAGCATGGTAAGATTGTTTCTGTAGGTGAAGAATAAAGAAACTACTCAGAAATAACTCCCTGTATCATTCTTGGTTTTTGGGGCCTGACATATGGACAATTTAAGGACAGCTTCACAGAAAACATGTGATAATAATTACATTGGAATGAAGCTGAAACCCTTGTCACAACAACACAACAGTATAACACACCACAACTGTTACCTGGGAACCCACTGACACCTGAGGATAAAGGAGCACTCCCGGACACTCTGCACCTGTTCATTCAGGAGAAATGTGATATATTCCAGAATGTCAGGCCTCCAGTCTTTGAGTCCCGATTCCTCATGATTAACAACACTGCATTTGCCTGGGCTAATTTTAGCAATCTAGCCGTTTTTATTTTTTGAAAGATATGGTTTTAAATTTTGGCTTAACTGTAAATGTATCAATTGTATTCCTTTTTATAATTTCTATTTTTAAATTGTTGTAAACTAACTTTCTGTTTATATTCAGGAATGCAGTACATTCAATAATAAAATGAATGCATGAATTTAGGCGATACACGTCTTAAGACACTGACGGCAAAGAGCAGTAAAGCACTTGGCATAATACGGGTGTATAGCATTCTAACGATTCTCCAGTCTAAAATTCCTAACAGAATTTATGCAAGTATTACATAGTATAGGAGACAGAATTGACTCATTTGGCTCTAATAACAGGTGAACTACTCTGTTCATACACTTTCCCATCACTGTAAACTGTTACTCTTCCTCCCTGCCATCTGTACCAGTCAGCCTTCCTTCAACTGGTCCTTGTCTTCAGATTCTTCCATCTGCTATATCAGCTTCTCATCATCTTACACAATGCTCATGTGCATGGACCACACCCAGACATTTCCCCAAATAAACTGGAAAACCACCTTATCCTATTCCTTAACCTACAATCTATCATGCTAATAATGTTTTCTGCTTCAGGGAAACACCCATTTTAGACTTTAATATCCTCCCACTGCATTCATATTTCACGTCCATTAGTAGTCAAAGGATCTTCAGGAACAGCTCTGTTCTATCTGGCCTTAATAGCATGGAATAGCTCCTACATCTTCTTCATTGGACTCCTACAGTTTACATAAAAGGCAATAATAACTGCATTGACCAATGAACAAGAAAAAAACCAAATTCCACATCAATGTAATACCTTCATTATGCCCCTTCAAATATCAAAAGGATCAAGCAATTTTTTAAGTTTAACAAACAGGACTTAGATCAACACAGGCGTCAAGCACCATTTTTCTCTTCTTTTGCTTTATTAATATGCTTCCAGAGCAATACTGACATTAATTACACAGTCAACCCAGAATTGAAACTGGTAGTCAACTATATGAGAATCAGTGGCATAAGACATGCCAATGATAGGAGTTATTGGATGGCATGGCTTGTAAAGTGGGGATGAATCTCAGTATGTTTTATGTTTCTAGGCCAGGGGTGTCAAACTCGTGTCGTCACAGCATCATCACGTGAGGTATCATGACTTTTTCCCCTTTTGCTAAACCGGGCGAGGGCATTGCCAGGGCATGACTCATCCGGCCCACGGACTGTGAGTTTGACACCCCTGTTCTAGGCCCACTAAATGTGGTGTGTCGAATTATAGATGTTTGAAGGAACAAGGTTCTTAGTCCAACTGTTTGACACTGTGGAGATGTGTTAGTCAATGTGTATACATGAGCTTGTTGGCTAATGCTAAATTTACTGAGCAGATTGTGGGTGTTGGCTTGATTACAAATGCAGATTAACTATTGAGACTTTAAGAACTGTTTTGGGAAATATTGCCTCTTTCCCTTTACTTTTCAGCTCCCTCATCTGATCTTTTAAATCTTTTCATCCTGGCCTGGAACTTTTTTGGTGTCTGGATGAAAAGAACTGTTTTAAGTTCTGCTTTCAACCAAATGATGAGAATAGGGTTGACCCACGTGATTATCTACAGCTTGCCTTTCATTTTGAAAACCTGAATCACTCAAGATGATTAATCAAGAACCAAAACTACAACAGAAAATGTCATCAAATGCACCCAAGCTGCTAAAATGATTATTCTCAGAGAATGAAATTCCAACCAAAATACAAACAAATTGAAACCATAAACACAGTTTAACACTGTTTATGACTAAGGAACTCTGCATAGAAGCTATCATTGCTTTCAAATAATAGTTTTTGGAGTAGTTAGCAGCTTCATGTAGCTGATTTAAATATTGAGAGAAGAGATTTTCTGGAGTTTATTATTGACCCATCAGGTTATAAAAAGCACCAAGAACATTTGAATCTGTTCCATTGCCCTCATGATTGTAAAACAGACTGGGACACTTAAATAAGGAAAAGAACATAGGAAAATTGGGTGCTCTCCAAATGCAAGGGAAATTAATCTGATTGGGTATCTTTCACATTGTATTTAATTTAAACCTAGAAGAGGGCTACTGTGCATGTTAATACATATAGCAGCACAAATCTGACAATTAGGTGAGAATCTGCTAGCTGTTCTGCAAATTATATCAGACATTATGTAGTACAATAATTATAGTAAAACAAATCTTACCTGCCATGCCTCAACTTTCTTGATATCTGCACATGACCCATTGGCAAACAGTCCTTTCCCAGGAGTGCAAGTGTATATATCCTGCAAAGCATGAGCAATGGAATATACTGCCAAGTACACATTATAAGATATCCGCAGGTGGGTATAATCCATATATGGTGTTTCCACACTAGTGATGTTCTCACGCCCTGTACATGGGGGACAGAATGAAGCTGTACCATTTCCAGCTCTAGTGCCTTCTTCATAGCCTTTGTGGAAAAAACCTGGGAAATTTTTGTTTCCTTCTGGTAAGTAGCAATTAAACGTCTCCTCCCAAAACTCTTTAATAAATCCATTATTAGCAGACTTCTTAGGGTTTACCTTCTGCAGAAAGTCACGAAAGCCAGGGATCTGTCCTGCCTTAAGAGCAAATCCAATGGTGCCCCCCATGACATGAAAGAATTGTGGCATTGCTATCAATGACGAGCTGGCCCAGGCTTCACTTGCCAGCCAAATTCTGCCAGTGATGTTCCGTGTGACAATCTCTTTGATCAATGGTTCTAGGTCAGGTGCACTGGAGAACACAACGATCACTTTGGCAGTGGAATTCTGGATGACTTTTACTACCTGTTGGATCTGATCCTCAGGCAAGTACTGGGCAATGAGCTCACTGAAGTCAATGCAGATGTTTCTCTCCTCTGTTTCTTCCCTGAACTTTTCAATACCCGGCCGGCCATAATTGTCATCTGCTGCAATGGTACCCACCCAATTCCAGCGGAAGTACTCTACAATGTCAGCCATAGCAGTGGCTTGGTGCTCATCATTAGGTATAGTTCTCAGGAAAGATTTGTATTCGTTCCTGTTGCTCAAGAGCCGACTGGATGAAGCATAGCTAACCTGGAAAAGGAAAGAGGGGAATAAATTATTATGCAACACTTTTAAGTAAAAACTATTCTGAAACATTTCACACAGGATGTGATCCCATGAACACATCCTTAAAGAAGGAAAAATGTTGTATCAGAAGGGCGGTTTTCAAGTGAATAAGAAATTGCTCACAGATGCAGTGGTACACATGGACAGCATGTTGCCAAATTTATGCCTTAGAAAGATCACCTTAAACAAAAAGTTCAAGACTCTTTAATAGGTAAACTAACAATCCAAAAAGAGATATTGATTTTGGGGAGACTTAGTGCGGCCACATGTTTACTGGACCCGTGTCCCTCCTGGTTGGTACTGGCTTCCCGGGAGGTTACACGAGGCTGGCTCCAGGGTGTTATCAACGCTTCGCTGAGTGAGGGCCACTTTCCCGCTGCCTTGAAAGAGGCGGTGGTGAGGCCTCTCCTCAAGAAGCCGTCCCTGGATCCGGCAATATTGGCCAACCTTCGTCGTGGCTCCAACCTTCGCTTTATGGCGAAGGTTGTTGAGAGTGTGGTCGCGTGACAGTTCCCACAATTCCTGGAGGAAACATCTTATCTAGATCCGTTCCAGTCAGGTTTCAGGTCTGGGCACAGCACGGAAACGGCATTGGTCACATTGGTTGATGATCTCTGGAGGGCTCGGGACAGGGGTTGCTCCTCTGTTCTGGTCCTGTTAGATCTCTCAGTGGCTTTTGATACCATCGACCATGGTATCATGCTGTACCGGCTGGAAGAGTTGGGGGTGGGAGGCACCGTGTTGCGGTGGTTCTCCTCCTTTCTCTCCGACCGGTCGCAGTTTGTGTTGGCAGGGGGGCAGAGGTCGACCTCGAGGCCTCTTATCTGTGGAGTGCCGCAGGGATCGGTCCTCTCGCCCCTTCTGTTCAACATTTATGTAAAGCCGCTGGGCGAGATCATCCGTGGCTTTGGGGTGAGATACCACCAGTACGCTGATGACACCCAGCTGTACATCTCCACCCCAGGCCACCCCAATGATGCCCTTGAAGTGATGTCCCAGTGCCTGGAGGCTGTGCGGATCTGGATGGGGAGGAACAGGCTCAAGCTCAACCCTTCCAAGACTGAGTGGCTGTGGCTCCCGGCATCCCGATATAGTCAGTTGACTCCATCATTGACTATTGGGGGAGAGTCTTTGGCCCCCACAGAAGGGGCTCGCAATCTGGGAGTCCTCCTGGATAGGCAGCTGTCCTTGGAGGAACATCTGACAGCTGTAACCAGGGGGACCTTTTGTCAGGTTCACCTGATTCGCCAGTTGCGGCCCTTTCTTGATCGGGATTCCCTGTGCACAGTCACTCATGCCCTCGTCACCTCTCGCCTTGACTACTGCAACGCTCTCTACATGGGGCTCCCCTTGAAGAGCACCCGGAGGCTCCAACTGGTCCAGAATGCAGCAGCGCGGGTAGTGATGGGAGCAGCATGGCGCTCCCATGTAACACTGCTCCTGCGCGAGCTGCACTGGCTCCCAGTGGTCTTCCGGGTGCGCTTCAAGGTGCTGGTTATCACCTTTAAAGCGCTCCATGGCATCGGGCCTAGCTATCTTCGAGACCGCCTGCTGCTACCAACGACCTCCCATCGTCCCGTGCGCTCCCACAGAGAGGGCCTCCTCAGGGTGCCATCAGCCAATCAATGCAGGCTGGTGACCCCCAGGGGGAGGGCCTTCTCTGTGGGGCACCTAGCCTCTGGAATCAGTTGCCCCCAGAGATAAGGAGAATCCAAGACCTTAGCGCCTTCCGCCGTGCCCTTAAAACCCACTTTTTCCAGCAAGCCGGGCTGGCTTAAGAAGAAATTTTAAATGTTTTAATTGGTTTGTATTTTTAATTTTGGGCCAAATTTATATATATTTTAATTGTTTTTAATATTTGTATTTCATGTTTTTTAATTCTGGCTGTACACCGCCCTGAGTCCTCAGGGAGAAGGGCGGTATATAAATTTAAAATAAAATAAAATAAAATAAATATCCATTCTAATAACCATAACATTTTAAAGCCTAATTGAGATTATGTGTCTTTATCAATCTATCCACTGGACTGATGACAACCAAACATTACTTCCTAGGAAACACACCCCATAATGTGAGAAAAGTTTTCTCCTATCATCCTGAAAAATGGCCTTCAAATGGGAGAAGTGTTCCCTCAATCAGATGATAAATCATTTACGAATGTTTTAAACGGTAAATTGGCAATTTATGGTAATTTATTTATGTTTAACGATTTGTATTAGTTTATAATGTAGCATACACAGAAAATACAAAAGTAAATAATAGGAAAGATAGTGAGGGAAGAAGGGAAGAGAAAATGAGGAAAAGAAAAGGGGGAAAAGAAAGAAAAGGCATTGACTTCCAACTCCCTTCAGTGCAGTAGAATAAGACATTAACATAAAACCTCAACTGTTTACTTTTACATAATATTTTAAACTAGCCATTTTTGTAACAATAAATCTATCTAATCGGTAAAATCCAAAATCAAAGTTTTATTTTTTTCTACCTCAAGCACAAAGTCTAGAAGTGGTTTCCAAGTAGAAAAAAAAGTATTTGTATTTTTTTTCTTTGAACAAACACTAAATATAGCCATCTCTGTTAACTCCATCAGTTTTTGCAGCCATTTGTCCATTGTGGGGATCGAGGTAGCCTTCCATTTCTATGCATAGAGTAGTCTTGCTACTGTCAACATATATAACATCAAAGATCATTTTTTTTCTAAATCTTTTCCTATTAAACCCAAAAGAAAAGTCTCTGGTTTTCTGTTTACATTCACTTTAAGAATTTTATGTATTAAGGCATGAATCCTACTCCAATATTTCTTTGCTTTACGTCCACCATAAATGATAAAAAGTCCGTTCTTTACATTTATATTTCCAATATTCATTTGAAATGCCTTTATATATTCTTGACAACTTGTCTGGAGTTAAGTACCAATGATACATCAACTTATATTAGTTTTCTTTTTAAGTTATAATTTAATGTAAATTTTAAACCTTTGTTCCACATATTCTCCCATTGTTCAAGCAATACATAATTTATGATATTTTTTCATTTCAGAGCAGACCTTCAAGTAGGCTCTAATCATATTGTGTCTCATTTATCCCAGGATTTTTCTTCTATCAGTTAAATTGCTATGCCACCCCACTTCATCATCCTCAGTTCCCCATTATATCAAGTGGTTTGCTTGGATCAGTGAAAGAGAAAGAAGTACTTAGAAATGATGGCCATATTATTTCTATATTCCTCAGCCCATCCGGAACTTTGAGAATATCCCCAATATATAAGAAAATTTCCAATCACATATAGAAGCAACCACTGTGCGTTTTCAAATCTGTATTTATTTTAGGAATTTTGCAGGGGTGAAATCCAACAGGTTCTGACAGGTTCTGGAGAACCGGTAGCAGAAATTTTGAGCAGTTCGGGGAACCGGTAGCAGAAATTTTGAGTAGTTTGGAGAACCAGCAAATACCACCTTTGGCTGGCTCCAAAGTGGGGTGGGAATGGGGATTTTGGAGTATCCTTCCCCTGCCACACCCAAGCCCACAGAACCGGTAGTAAAAAAATTTGGATTTCACCACTGGAATTTTGGCAGATTCAGCTAGATAAAAAAATAGATATATTAGTTTAAGGAAAAAAATAGATATATTAGTTTAAGACTTAAGGAATGGAAATTGGGCTGAATTTGTTTAGTCACAATCACTTAACAGTTAACAGAATAATAGAATGAGAAGGAACCTTGAAGATCTTATAGCCCAATCCCCTGCTCAATCAGGAGACTCTATACAATCCAGACAAGTGTCTGTCCATTCTCTTCTTAAAAGCTTCCAGTGATGAGGCATCCACAACTTCTGAAGGAAACCGTTCCACTTGTTAATTGTTCTCACTGTTAGGAAATTTGTCTTTAATTCTAGGTTGCTTCTCTCCTTGATTAGTTTCCATTCATTGCTTCCCGTCTTGCCTTCTGGTGCTTTGGAAAGTAGCTTGACACCCTCTTCTTTGTGGCAGCCCCCCAAATATTGAAACACTGCTATCATGTCATCCCTAGACCTTTTTTTCACTAGACTTGACATAACCAATTCTTAATCAAACACCCAATCAATACCCAATCAAACTAGCTTGTTAAAAATTAGGCCAAAACAGCAGCCACAACAATAAATATTTTAAATATATTAAAGAAAATCAATGGCCAGATGGAATCATATCTCATTATGGGTTGTTACATGCTGAAACAGAGTTCAGCAGGAAGCTGCAAAATGAATTGCTATGGCTGATGTAAATACACAATGTGCATTATGCTATTTAATATGGGCATAAGAAAATAAAGGTGTTATAGAGAAATTATCGTATGATTATAATGGGTTGTAGAGCTGCCCTTTTGAATCTAGGGGCTACTCAGACATATAGGAACAGACTGCTACAATGACTTGTTGAATACTGTTGGTGTTCAAAATTGGAAAAGGGATATTTATTCTTTTAAAAAAGGGAAGATGTGGAAATGTTACATTAGCGCTTTAAGATTTTATATACATTGTGAGGTTGACTGAAGAGATGATGAAATATGCCATAGCAACAGTAGAAACATTTTGTAATTAACAAGCTCACCTACCCAGGACCATCCTCTTTCTAGCAATGGAAAGAGACAACATATGCTCACCTGAGGTATATAAAAGAGACCCAGAAGATTGGCAACTGCAGTGGAAATCCCAGAGCCTGTTGCTCCCACCACTGCAATTGTTGAGGGAATATGATCCGAGCAATTGCAAAACTCATCCAGATTCAGAGAGTCAATCTTGTTTTGGGCTACAAAACTCAGTGTGGCTTCCAGAGCTTTAGACACTGTGTTGCAGGTATCAAAAATGCTGTATCCAAGCGTCATATTGGGAAGAAGAGTTGGGCTGTTATTAATCTCTTCAATGGCGAAGATCATTGCCTGTAACCAGCGAAAACCCCGGAAATTATACCTACAAAAAAGGAAGAGAAATCGAAATAAGCACAATGTCTTATATAGAGATAGAGGAGAGAAACAGGAACATATATCGTTTCTGAGTGAATGGAAGAGCACTTCCTAAATCCATTTTCCTCCAAAGAGAAATGCAACTACATATTTCAAAATAATTAACCAAAAATAGGGCCAGTTCACATAGGCATCCATTACAAATCACAATGACCACTGTTATATTGTGCAAATGATGCAATTTACATCAGTTTCATTATGTCATTATCAAGCAAATGATATAAATTACAGAGTGCATGTCATATGTGCGATGAGGTAATAATGCACAGAACGTAAGTTGATCCTTGAATCCTCCAATGGACAACCATGGCAGCTGTACCACCTACAAAACAGAACCCTGTTGGATCAGAACAATGGGCATTTTGGACAGTGGCAGATGGTCTCTCTCTCTCTCTCACCTCTCCCTCTTCCTGGAATTCTCAGCAACCACTGACACAATTTAACAGCATATCCTTATTATCTAAAAGGTTAGGTCTTGTTTTGAGGTCTTGTTTTGAATGATTCCATTACACATAGTCTAGAGAATGTTGTGCCAAGAAAGTATTTTTATTCGTATTCAGAATTGTCCTATGAAATTTTTCAGAAGTAAGTAGTTAGCATTTATATGATATCCCACTTTCTGGGCAATCCATGAGGTATTACATGAGATATTATCAGAATATTAAGGCCCATTTTATCCAAACTTCTGTGTCACCCAATGACCAATCAAATTATGCAGGAAGCTCATAAGGATAATAGAAGAATTTCATGCAGGGTTCCCAGAGAGTTGATATTATATGGCAACCTACTTGTAATTTATGAGGTAATATGTGACCACCAAAATTAGTAACTTTAACATAGATTTATCTATTTTTTTAAAAAAAACCTTCTAAGTAATACTTTACTAAACAATACTAGCTGTTTTTTTTAAAGTATTCCCCTGAGGCAAAGAAGTCCCTGTGTATTTTACTCCAATAGTCATTGCCGACTATAGGGACAGTGCTCATCTCGGTTTCAAGGCCATTGCACCAGCACTGAAAATATTTCTGCGGTCATGTGGCCAGCATGGCATCACGGAGTGCTGTTACTTTCACACCAAAGTAGTACCTATTTATCTAATCACATCTGTATGCTTTCAAACTGCTAGGTTAGCAGCAGCTGGGTGGAGGATGGGAGCTCATCATGTCATGTGGTGCTTGGGTCTCGAACTTGCGTCTTAAACACTGAGCCACAATGCCACCCCTCCCTTGAGGCACTGTGACCAAAAATATATATTGTCTTCCACTATCTGCTTATTTTAGGGCTTTACAGTTAGGGCTGAATAATCCTTCAGATTCAGTCTCCAAAAGGTGTTTTGGAGTATATAGAAGCATGAACATAATAATTGTTTATAGCAGGGGTGTCCAACTCAAGGCCCAGGGGCCAGATTTGGCCCGCGGGGTGCTTAGATCTGGCCCACAGGGTCATCCTTGAAACAGTGAAGGACTGGCCTGTGGTGCCTCTGCCAGTGAAAACAGAGCTCGGGAGGGTCACATGTTTTTACTGGCAGAGGGTTGCAGGAGCCCATTTTCTCTGGCAGAGTGCTTGGGCCATAGGTGCCCCCGACACAAGTGACATCGAGCTGGCCATGCCCACCCTGGCCATGCCCACCAGCCCAAGGTCAAACACCAAGGTCAAACACAACCCTGATCCGGCCCTCAATGAAATCGAGTTTGACAACCCTGGTCTATAGTTTTTCCTAGGACTGTGTGATTGCTATGAAGCATTGGAAAACTGAAGCAAAATCATTGCAGAACCTTGATTAGTAGTTTTATTTTCAATTCTTATGAATCCTAGCATGGAATTCATAATTTTAAACAAGAAACACATTGGGTTGACATTTTCATTGTATCAGCATATTGATATACTGTAACACTGAGAACTTTTTTTTAGATGATTTCTATTTATAACATCTTCTAGAATCACTCAACTATTATGCCAAATTTAACAGCTTAAGCAAACAGGCTACTTCATTTCAACCACAGCTAAGTGATGCTATAAGAAATTGCAAATTACTAGTGCAGAAATTATCTTAATCACTGGCAGCTTGGACTTCATTAGCCCTTGTGTAGAGATTAGGTTTTTAATCCAATTTACACAACTTTGCATTTGTTTACACTGAACTACATTCCCTATTACAAAATTCATTCCTCTAGCCTGGAAATGCCATTAAGGTGCTCTTTACAATCCTTTTTTTTATTTTTATAAATCTTGATAATTTATTATCATTACCCCTGATTGCAGGATAGAATTGTACAATTTAGTGTGTTCTTTTTTTTATAATATTTGGACACTTAAATGTCTCTAGACAGTGTATAAATTAACCAAACACAAAACGTTTTTTTAAAACTAAGAAAATAGCACGAGTTCTTTTCTCTATGAAAATGAAGAGGTCTTCACAGGGCCGGATTTTCCTATAGGCTAACTAGGCTTCAGCCTAGGGCCTCAAGATCAAGAGGGGCCTACATTCAAATTGTTAGCAAAATTAAAATAATTAAAATTACACTTTCACTATAGGTGAAAGGGCCTCATAAGTGGAATAGCCTAGGGCCTCTTTTCATCTAAATCCGGCCCTGGGTCTTCACACAGCACCTATAAGGCCATAATGAAAGTGTCAGGTGAACATCTCTTGGGAGGCTTTCCACAAACAAGATGCCACTCATGAAAAGATCCTTTCTTTGCTGATGGGCTCTCTTGCCTCATTTGGTGAGGCATCTAGAGAAGAGCCGCAGGTGAGGCCATCATGATGCTCTAGAAAAGCAAATATGGATGGATCTTTTAGGTAACTTAGCCAAGATTTAGAGTTACAGGCTAATTAACCGGGGAAAATATAAAGTTCTAAAACCAACTGCCAGGCATGAAGCTCATTAATATTTCTAGTGATGGTAGAGAATCTGTAAGTAATCCCAAATCGTACACCTGATCCTCCAAGGGCAGTGCAGCATTCTCCTCAATGAGAGATTCAGTTCTACTTGTTCCTCCAGCCATGCTGAGGTTACACCAGTGGTGAAATCCAATTTTTTTTTACTACCGGTTCTTTGGGTGTGGCTTGGTGGGCGTAGCAGGGGAAGGATACTGCAAAATCTCCATTCCCACCCCACTCCAGGGAAAGGATACTGCAAAATCCCCATTCCCTCACCATTCCTGGGGGAAGGATATTTTAAAGTCTCCATTCCCACCCCACTCTGGGGCCAGCCAGAGGTGGTTATTTGCCAGTTCTCCAAACTACTCAAAATTTTCACTACCGGTTCTCCGAACTGCTGAAAATTTCTGCTACCGGTTCTCCAGAACCTGTCAGAACCTGCTGGATTTCACCCCTGGGTTACACTCTTTTACTATGTGTAAAATGGATAGTTAAAAATAAATGAGGGGGCCTTTGTTCTGATTCAGTTCGTTCTGATCCAGTCTGGTATTCAATATCAACCAAAGAGAAAATGATAAAGCAGCCAGGAACAGTTTAAAAGAACCAAAAGAGAAACAGGTGCATGGGGTCAGATGCTTCTTCTTTTCAACCTACTTCTAAATCTCCTACTTCATAAATATTCCTGCCTACTATCAAAGCTTTTCAACCAACTTCTAAATCTCCTACTTCATAAATATTCCTGCCTACTATCAAAGCAATAGAAGTGCCTTCTGGGTTAAGGATGAAGAATATAAAAAACCATTATTAAGAAGCTTTGCTCACTATTCCGATGGTTAGAGATGCAAGGCTCAAATTACACATGAAGCAGGCTTCCTACAAGTCATCCCCAAAACATAGAATGCCCTCCAATGAGAGGTTTCATGTACTAGCTGCTTTCTAAGGGTAACCAACCTCATTACAGATTTCTTTGTGCTGAATTGAATATGTTATATCAAATGCAATTATATTTTATTTTGTAAGCCACATACTGTTTTGAAAATCTGCTTATATAGTCAAATTCAGTAAATAAAAGCCAGGTCTGACTGAAAGCCTACTTCAAAAGGGATCAGTCAAATACTTCAGAAAAGCCCATGTACAAGGTGTGGGAGACATAATAGAGTTCAGTTTCTTCCCTACAAGCTTGGAAGTGGTGCTTTTTTTTTTTTTTTTGAAACAAAGAACTATTATCTAGCAGAAATCTTAAAACTTTTAAGGCCTCTGGCATGCGAATCTGGGGAATGAGTGAGTTTGGGGGAGATTTGTGGACTTACCTTATGCATTCTACTGATTCTGGCCTAGATTTCAGATCCTGGTGTTTAGCAGCCACTCCAAAATGAATGGGAAACAATCCTCCAAGAATAATGTCTCCTTTCTTCTGTGCCCTTTGATTTGGTCCATAGGCAGAGCTACTCCAAGTAAATGCAAAGAGGATCAAACAGAAACTATAAAAAGTCATCGTTCCTCCTTTATACAAAAGGAATTACGTTGCAAATTTCAAATCAGGTACCTAAGAAGCAACGTAAGCCTAATATAATTTGACATGTTTTTTTCTATTTGAAACACCATACACTATGGCTGAGATGGGAAGGCTTGAAGTCCAATAAGTCACTGGACAATAATGATAGCTCTGATGTCTCTTCAGTGGACTTCTCCATTTCAATTTATCTGATCCAGCAATTCCTTGCTTCTTCAGTATCACTAGCAGTTCACGTAGAATTCATCTTCAAGACTTCCTAAAACAATATTAAAATGTAAAAAAAAATCATGTATACAAAGGAACATAGAACTGTCCACAAATCACAAATCACAGCCTTGTTCTAAAGCTGTTTTAATTTTTTTTCTTATAATTATTTCATAAAACATCACATTTGCTTTACATATAGGAAAAAATAAATAAATAACCAACATATTATATTTACCTATAGCAAACAAATAAATTCAGGCACGATATCCCTAACAAGGATGTCTTAGTTTCAATATCCATTTTTCCCAAGTGAAAAACCAGTTAAAGTGCTTCCTATTTAACAATAATTAATGAGAAATTCCAAAATGTGCATCAAGTTCAAGGAGGATGATTATAGACATAAGTAAGGTAAAGGTTCCCCTCGCACATATGTGCTAGTCGTTCCCGACTCTAGGGGGCGGTGCTCATCTCCGTTTCAAAGTCAAAGAGCCAGCGCTGTCCGAAGGCGTCTCTGTGGTCATGTGGCTGGCATGACTAAAATTGACATAAGTATAGCCATTTAAAGAAACAGTGATGAGTTGCTGAAATTATTATATGACAGTGAGTCTATATAAAGAAATCCATACCAAAATACACAAAGAAAAATAGGTTTCAACACCCACATAGATCTCTAGCACTAGCACTTAGACTTATATACAGCTTTACAGTGTTTTACAGTCCTCTCTAAGTGGTTTACAGAGTCAGCATATTGCCCCCAACAATCTGAGTCCTTATTTTACTGACCTCGGAAGGATGGAAGGCTGAGTCAACCTTGAGCTTGTTGAGTTTTGAACTGCCAAATTGCAGGCAGCCAGCAGTCAACACAAGCAGCCAACCTTGAGCCACTCAGAATAGAACTCCTGGAGTGAGCAGTGAGTTAGCCTGCAGTACTGCATTCTAACCACTGTGCCACCATAGCTCTTTGGCACCACTAAGTGACTATTTCATGTTTGACAAAGACGCTTCCCCTATGCCTGTGATGGCGAACCTATGGCACGCATGCCAGAGGTGGCACACAATGCCCTTTCTGTCAACATGTGAGCCACTGCCCCAGTTAAGCTCTTCCATGCATGCACTTCCCGCTGGCCAGCTGGTCTTCGGGTCTCTGCCACGCATGAGTGGGCACATGTGCATGCGTGGGGCGCGTGCGAGGGTGCATGCGAGGGGCATGTGCAGGGGCGGAGCATATGCATGGGAACCACACGCATTGCATTTTAGGGGTTCGGGCGCACAGGCACGCACTTTGGGCACTCAGTCAGATAAAGTTAGCCATCACTGCCCTATGCTATAAAACAGTAGGTGGACAGATTTTTTTTCTTCATTTACTACCATTTGGTGGAAGAGTTGTTAAATTAATATTTATAAAGGAAAGGAAAGGAAAGGAAAGGAAAGGAAAGGAAAGGAAAGGAAAGGAAAGGAAAGGAAAGGAAAAAGTCACCAGCAGACATTTCTACTTAATATAAAACCAAATGCATAACTTTCCATTATTTGCAATTCCAATATATTTTTCACTCTAATTTCTCATTTTCACATTATGCAAAATTAAATAAAGGAAAACAATTGTAAAACATAGCCGTTCTAAAATGTTACTCCTGTCTTATGTCTACAATGCACACAAACCATCATGTTAGCACTTTAAGTATTTGTATGTTGAATGAAGTGATACAGGAAAAAATTGATAGAACCACAGTCAGACAGACTTCTGAATATTTTAAATAGCTCAGAAAACAAAAGAGGAAAACTTATTCCTTGGGTTTCCTTGATCTGAAGGACAAATCATCCCCATTCTCCCATTGTTAGATCTGGTAATCACACAAAAGGAATAGGAATAAGGGCAAAACCAACTAGAGTCTGCTGTCTTCATACCCTTAGACAGCCTCCAAATTCTGAGATAAGGAGGTGGGGGGTGGGGAGAAGAAAATTGAGAGTACCAATGGTTCCTTTAGTTGTAAGCATCACTTATTACCTACATTAGTCATATAAAAGGACTGCATCTCCTGCTTTTAGCAGAATAGCTGTCTTTAAGCCTCACCAAAGGTTGTATTCTTTCTGTAACTTCAGGGGGGAAAATCCTTCTGAGATAATGAATGATAGAAGATAGCATAAATGAGGAGACTAAGAAGTAACTAAGTGGCAGCTAACAAGTCTGGAATAGTTCCTTTGCAAAGTGAAGAAATAGGGAATGTTTTTTTGTGCCACCCACTCCATCAGAAAGACCAAACTTAACAGTAATGCATCTCAGATGCCAAGATATGCTTTAAACATACACTAGGAATGAGCTTGTACTGGGGTGGGGGGGGGCACTCATGGAGACCCAGTAATATATCCCCCATAACACTCCAAGGTAGGTCTATGAAGAAAGTCTTCTGCCTAAATATCGAAAACTGTGCAATATGGGGCTATAATAATCTAATCCTTATTGCACCCTGTACAAGTCATTATTATGATGAAGAGTAATATGTGATTTCCCTGGCATGCTCCCTAAGGGATAATAATAATCTCAGTCCTATTAACCCAGTAGTCTGATTTCCTCGTGGCATACTTAACCTAGTCAGCCACTATCCCAGTGAAATCCCTTTACCTCATATTCTGGCAACGTACAGTCACGCTAACTGGGTCAGAAGTCAGCAGTTTAAAAATTACTGGCATTTCCCTCACTTTTTTTCAAAGGTGCATAGTATCCCACCAAAGGAGACACAACATGCCACAACATCACCAAGCCATTCTCCATTGGTCAGATAGGTAGAATAAGCAAGGCTAGTCTATAGTGCCTGGCCTGTATTTCAGTTCTGTGCTCTCAAGCTTTGGCACCGAGTTCAGAAATGGAGACTTCTGTTTTTCAGCCACTTTCCCCCCTCGAGTTCTTTTTACATGGAGACTCATGTAAAGGTCAACTGCCTAAGTTTAGCTGTTCCTCCAACACAATTGACTGGATAGCATTAGTTCAACCCATGCGTGACCAGCTCTCTTTTGGGTTAAATTTAACCCGCTGGTTTAATTGATTGAATCAACTGACATTTGTTTTTATTTTGGTACACCCACAACAGTTTGCTGATCCAGTTAGGTGTGCTGTAGGAATCATTTGAAGACTGATTTTGGTAAATATATATTTAAAATTCAAGCAAGCTTGGAAGGAAGGGAAATATCTACTATGTTACATCTCTGTGAAGGTGATCTTTCTGCCCAGGTTGGAATGTACAAACACCTGGAGTCACCCTCCAGTGAGCAGCATCAGCTCACCTCCCTGCCAAGTCCACCACAGTACACGTTCCATCTCCGGGACAACGGTGTGACTTTTGGAGGCTCTATGCCTCATTTAATTCTGGTAATGGCCTAATTGGGTTGGAAAAATGCAGGGGCAGGAGTGTGATTAAAAACTAGCTTGGTGGTGCTTATTTATGCCAGTGGAAAGAGAAGGGTTTTTGGTTGAGGTTATGTTTTTGTTTTTTTAGTTTTAGTTTTAAGCATGCACTTAAGAGTGTTTCTTCAAAGACTGATGCTATCTGTAATGTTATGAATGGTATTACCTCAAATATGAAAAAGTAAGGTGCAAAATTCACACAGCATCTTTGCAAAGTTTTATGGGTGATTCTTATCTTAAAATGTTTAATTGCTTTCATTCAACTCAAAGTTTTTTTGTTTTCTCTCCTCCAAATCTATTGTAGCTATTCTGGAAATCATTCTGCTTGATACAGAGAAATGTTACACGGGGAAATCTAAGTGATGAACTTTGCCATTAGTTACACACACACACACACACACACACACACACACACACACACACACACACCCTTCTCATCTAGGTAGTCTCCAGTTCTAAGAACGGCCTACTTCCCAGGATTGCTTAAAGAACTATAAAAAATAGGGATATTGGATGTTATAACAAAGAAGGCAAATTCTTCCTGCTATAATGTCCTACATTTTACAAATGTACCAAAGCAACACATTCCAGAAACACATAGAAGCTTTTAAGATTACTGCTAAAAGCAAGTTTTTGAAAGAGCCATTATTAAATACAGCTAGAAGATGAAAAATGATACTTCTCTTAAAGAAAAATAAGTGATGAAATGCTACATGGTGTAAAAACCTTTTGAATACTGTACATGGTTTTCCTTTAAGTTAACAAAAATGATAATCTTGCCAAGGGGTAATAATCAGTTTTATCTTTTGTTTCTTTCTAAACTTGAAAAAATGTTGCTTCTCTTTTCCCTTTTCTCCATTTTTCTCCATTACTGTAAATCTATTAAAGTGTAATTAAGGACAATGTCTCTCATTTTTATTTGATTTTAAGATTACTGGCAAAAGAACAAGAATAAGAGGCAGAACATAACTAGACAATAATACAATCTTTGGGGAGGAACAGATATTTTAAAGAGATATTGTATGGGAATTGTTTTTAACTTTTTAAAATAAACTTGAGCAATATATACTTTAACATGGTAAGACAGATTTTAAAGGTTAATTTATTTATATTTCTAAAGCATTTATTATCAGGTTTTGTACAGCTCTCAGACTCCTGAGTAGTCTGCCATGCAAATGCTCTAAAAAGTCTGTATAATGGATAAGGGCAGCTTTTAGTCATATGGCTATGGCTGCCAGATTAAAAAAGGGGCAAATTCAGTCCTTTTCAGCATTCTTCTGATTAGAAAGAACAATACAACATCCCTGCACACAACTGTGTCTAGCAGAGTTTCTTTTATCTGTTGAGGCTCTTCAAATGACTGATAAGAATCTATCCTACTCCCTGCAGCAAGGAAAGCCTCAATGGATAGCAGAGATTCTCTGCAACAGCCAGTTACCACGATGTTTATTGCTACTCTTCTCTGAATGTGAGCATGCTGACACCTGGTCCTAAGTCAGTTAGTATTTAAAAGAAACTAGCAACCTGAGATGGTCTCAGAAACAAAAAATGTGTTTTGGTCAAAATGTAGCAGCCAATTTGAATATTACTTAGGCATAAATGAGAATAGCCAACTGTGGGTTCCCCCAAAAGATCCAGAGGTAGCACAT